GCGCACTGGAGCAGATGGAAGCACTCACAGAGTTTCATTTCATTCCAATCTGAAATGTGTCGCATTAAAAGCTGTCGAAATGAAAACAATGGAAATTGGGTCAGTAGTGTTTGTACCTGAGTTCCAGAGGAATAGCGAGCGCTTGTCCGTGTTGTTGAGGTCTTTGTGGAGCTGTGTGAGCTCTCTGTCGTGATCCCGCTACAGCAGTACGTGTGTCGGAGGCATTTGCTGTACTCTCTCCGAACCTGCAGTTCAAAGGAATGCTTTTTTTTTCTCTCTTTTCAAGTGAACTTTTTAACATGTGCTTCTCGTTAAAATCGAGTGCTGCCGCAGCTCGGGTGGAACAATATATTTCAGGAAGCACTTACTTTCTTCTGAAGCAGGCAGTGGAAGGTGAAGATAAACATGCCCTGGAAAGTGTTGAAGATGGTGAAGAGGTACGCCAAGACAACGGACGACTCGCTGATAAAGAACAACCCAAATGACCAGGTCAGGCCCAAGAGACACAGCAGAACAAAGCCGCCCATGACCCACGACCTTCGAGAGCACATAAAAGAGAAACAATGAGGCATGAGAGAGGGACGTTTCCTTCAGCAAAGAGCAGAAATCATTACAGCATCACAATCTCAGCAAAACAATACAAATCAAACACAGGTTCTGAAAATCATTTGGACTGACATCTTAGGCACAAGTAGATGGGAAATGCAGTGGAACATATCATTGAGAGGTTAATCAATACCATATGGAAGCGGGATTGTCGTAAAGAAGGTTTAATCAGTTTTGAGGCAGTGGAGTGTGGAGATATTTTCGCATGCCACTATACTGGGTATAGACGCATGATACTGGGCTGCATTCAGACGGAGGGGAAAGAGAAAGAGCAGTAATCATCTCTGATTGGTCCATTTTAGTGGAGGAGGCGCTGACAACAGGTCTCGGCTGGCTAAGGAACCAAAGAGATAGAGCTTGCTTTCATCAGAGGAGAGATGAAACAAGAAACCAACATATGAGGATTTGAAGGCATGAGGAATAGGATGGCTTTACGGTATAAAGATTTGTATTTATTTATTTTGAGGGTAAGGGTGCATTGAGATCTATAAATGAGGGGTATAATGGATGGAGCTAAGGATGCATTGATTTTAAAATTCTATCAGATGCGAATAAGCTGATCTTTTTCTTTTTTCTTCCAAGTTATGGCACATAACTGATAAATGGCTAATATTAAAATACTATTGTGTCTAAAAATAAATAAATAGCTAAAAAAATACATAACACTATATGAATAATTTGTAAAACAATACTATACAATAGAAACTAATAATACCTAAATAATACCTACTTTAAAACCGTGAATTTTGACAAGATTATAAGGCACAGTATAAAAGATGGATTTAGACAGACAGACAGACAGACAGAGATAGATAGATAGATAGATAGATAGATAGATAGATAACATTTAATAACATATATGTGACAATTAGCATACACAGTTAAACATGCAATACTGGCTAACATATACAATATGGACTGTACGTAAATAAGTAATTAAGTAAGTAAATAAATAATAAATCAAAATATTACACTGATAAGCCAATAACCACTGATATATCATGTACTCGTATAACTGATAAATGGCTAATATTAAAATGCTATTGTGTCTAAAAATAAATAAATAGCTAAAAAAAATACATAACACTATATGAATAATTTGTAAAACAGTACTATACAATAGAAACTAATAATACCTAAATAATACCTACTTTAAAACCGTGAATTTTGACAAGATTATAAGGCACAGTATAAAAGAAAGGATAGATAGATAGATAGATAGATAGATAACATTTAATAACATATATGTGACAATTAGCATACACAGTTAAACATGCAATACTGGCTAACATATACAATATGGACTGTACGTAAATAAGTAATTAAGTAAGTAAATAAATAATAAATCAAAATATTACACTGATAAGCCAATAACCACTGATATATCATGTACTCGTATATCTCGTATATGAGGGCATGACACTTTGAGAAATGAGAATGAGAAAATGAAGGCAATGAGCACTTTGGCATCTTTGGCATCTAATATATTTGGGGGTTTGCCATGTGAAGTGTACGAGAATGTGTCGGTGTGAGGAGGTCTGAAAGTTCGAGGGTAGGAATAACATGAAGTGTGAG